GTGTGTATGGATTGGGATAACAGTTGTATGAGCCCCTAATAAAATGTTAAAAAAAAAAAAAAAAAGTCCAATGCTTAGCCAACAGTACATCAGAAAGAACCAAGCCAGTTGCAAAAGACTGCACCACATATCGAAGGATTCTGTTTATATGAAGTCTCCAGAGAAGCAGCAAATATTATAGAAATTCGATTAATGGTTACCTAAGAGCTGGGGGGAAATGGGACTTGGCCGCATCTTCCTTAGATGTTTCCTGCAGCATTCACTATCTTGCCCATAAACCCACCAAAACTGAATGTTTTACCTGCAATTCCCCCAGCTTGAGAATTCTAAGCATGATCTTTCCCTGTGGTTTTCTAGGTCCAGATCTTTGCATATTTCACTATAATAATTTACTTTGTTTGACTTCTTGAGTTCTCCTTTGGAATCTTCTGTTCCACTCTTAATTCGTCACTTGTTCATTTGCTTTAGCTATTCTATGTTCAAGAGCAAGCTTCTGGGTCTTTTCTGACATTCATTTTGGGAATTTCTTGTTTTTTCAATGACGTTTTGTTTTCTTCATTTATGGTGTCCTTGATGCCATCCTGCAACTTGTCTAATCTTCAGTCATTAGTGATCAATGCATCAACTTCATTAAGATTGTCTCAAACTTCAGGTGTGATATCCTTGAGATTATAGTATGACCCTTATGGACTTGTTTGATTTTGAACTTGCATGTGAGTGCAGCTGGTAACGTATTTTGTATAAAACTCCGAGTTAAATAAAACATTGTTCAAACACACACACACACACACACACACACACACACACACACACACACAAGATATTTGTTTTTAGATCTAAACCTCACAAGCAATAAATTGAATCTGGAAAAAAAATTCTACTGGAGTTACTAGCTTGCTTATAGGTTTGAAATTCTCCTTCGTGGGTAAAGATAAGTAGCGAGAATTACTTCTGCAATATATTACCAACACACTCAACTACTAAGTGGAGCCCAACTGGAAATAAAGCCATGTCACTCTTAAAATGCCTACAAGCATGAATAGGTGCTGGGTAACCACTGTGTGAAATCACCCCAAACCTTGACAGAAGAGTCTCCTCTTTCTGGGCAGTAGTTCCCAGCAGTGCTGGAGAGGAGCAGTAGTTGGCACCCTGCTGCCTGGGCCTTGGGTTTTAAAAGCCTTGGCATTAGGTTGCTGTGCCTACTGAGTCATCAATTCTGACTTAAAGGAGGTTTGCAAGGCTGCAATCTTTAAAGGAGCAGATCCCAGGTCTTTTCTCCCAGGGAGGTGCTGGTGGGTTTGAACTCCTGACCTCTCCGTTAGCAGCCAAGCAGCTGAATCACTGCGCATTCCTAAATTTAGGAAAAAATTCCTAAATTGCAGTTTGCAATGCGTAGTGATACTTCCCTCAGGCCTCTAAAATACTTTAGACTGCACGTTAGATACCCTAAACCAAACGCATTGCCACTGAGTCGATTCCAACGTGTAGTGAGTGGTCCAAGAGAACAGGGTGGACATGCCCCCTGGAGTCCAGACATCACGTCTTTCTCTAGTGGGCGGCTGATAGTTTGTCTGGTTTGCAACCAACCACCTGGACACTGTGCTGCTAGGGCCCGCACACTGATGCCAGCTAAAAGGGGCTAAGGAAAAGCATTCGTATCATTTGAACAGCACCAGGCAAAGAGTACAAAACATAGATGTTCAATGGATGAGTCCCCCTATAAAACAATGAATACTTCAATTTTATATAGAAATAGGTGACCTATATCTCTAACTCAGCCAGTTAGGCAAGCTTCCCAAACGACTAGAGGTTTCTACCAGTCACCATCTGCACAAAGGGGCAGCTTTGAACGGCACTATACAGTGCCCTTCCTTCTCACCATCTTGCTGTTAGATTGATATGTGAAGGCAGAAATCACACTAACAAAGGGCTCACATCACAGTAGGACAAAGTGCTGATCAGGTGGTGCTGTCCACTTGCGGCTGCTGCTAGCAACCTAGGAATCAATACTGACTGCCAGCTACAGACAATGAAATCCTGTGCACACACGTGGGACTGGGGGGCCTCCTGCTGCGGAGACAAACACTGCCACACACCCCAGATGAAGCTCTCAGATGCAGCAGCACAGCTTGGAACTGAGCTCCTGAGGCATGTTCTCAGACGCAAACTTCTGCAGGCTTGACTGATTCTCGCAGACCACACCCAACACTTTTATGTCTAATTTGTTGAGAGCAGATTGACTGAAAAACTCAACATATTTCTTTTGTTTATATACATGCCAGGGAGACTCATACCTTTCCAATGATTTGAATTTTTTGAAGGAAAAGGAGCTGCCCATTTTTTATTACATTCTAATAAATCTTTCTCTAGCTTGAGCTCTTAGGCTTCTCTGCCAAGAATTCACCAAAAGCCTCTTTGAAAAGGAGAGCCCTTTCCCTTTATGATCATGATCAAAGTCGCCTGCCAGGACCTGCTGATCTAACACAGCTGTTGGACCCCTTGAAGGAGCAGGCTGCTTTCCCCAGTGGAGATGATGACTCATCAACCTCCCAGCTTTCAGCGCCCTTGAACTCCTTTGTCATCCTTAATACGTGAGTGACCGGTGAATTTGGCAAACTACTTTTCTAGGGGTTTCTAAAAACAAAAGTGATGAAAATTGAGACCAAAATTTTAATAGACTCCGATGCGCCTTCAGTGGATTAATGAACAAACAGGTCACTTCAGTGGGAATTCCAGAGAAGAATCCCTTGCCTGCAAACAATCTCAGTATTTCAGTGGAATGCCCCATGGCACAGAAAATTACTAATTCAGCCCTATGTTTGGTATACGCTTATAGAGTCCAAAAAGTTGGCAAACTGGAAAAATTAAATGGGAAACTGAACATTCCAAGGAGACGCCATCTGAAACAGGTTCAGCATAAGGGAGCACCCATTGACTAACATACACCGAGGTCAGTTACGCTTACTAAAGGTGTCAGCCCAGGCCTGTGACTCCAAAGGCCCTGCTCTCATCATGCCACCATCTGTTTCCAGAAAGCTGCCCCCCGACCCCGCCACAAAAAGAAAGCTGTTCTCCTGGTCTCTCCTGCTTCTTAGCTTCAACATCTTCTATCCAGTTGGGGCCCCGTTTCCTTTTCCAGCCGTTTCCTCTCTCTCTCTCTCTCTCTCAAAACTGGTCTTCCACGATCCAAGTTCCAAGCAAAACAGACCATTTACTTCTATGCTCCCCATTCGCACTGGCCACAATTGGTCTCCTCAATGCAAAGCCCTCTGCTATCATCAGAGGCTAAATGCATTAAGCATGCCATTTCTCACATGATGCCACAGGATCTGGAAACGGCCCCTTCCAGTCAGTGTTCTGGACACCGTTGAGTGTACTTACTTACCTACCAGCTCCGCCCATCCCTCCACCAAAAAATCAGTGTCAACTGGACCATCTCTTCCTGGTCTCTCAAAGTTTCATTGTACTTCTTATTTCCTATACTGTAAGGTCTGGTCCTACAAAATAACTTTCTCGTGGCACCCCATCTAGACAGATGGCAGAGCTCCTTGCCACTCATCTCTCCCCCTCTGGCCAGTACAATTGATATAAAAGCCATTCCCTGTGCCAATCCACTTGGGGATTTGTGGCTGGAACTTGGATCATGGAAGAACACATACAGGAAAATGAATGCCAGTCCTTCCTAAAAGAATGGAAAATGCCCATCTTTCTTGACATCCGATGCTTCCCCGTGTCAAAAATTCCAGCAAGCACATAGGCAAACTTTGCCCAGATCAGGATCCACTTTTTCTTGCTACTCTGCCTCTGTATGTGCCATCTTCTTAGCCACTCTGCTAATTGCTAATTACTGTCCCAGCATTTCATTAAAGCCAAGGTCTGAATTCAGTGCCTCTTCAAGAAGCTAGCTGATAAATGCTCCCTGACGGTGAGAAGTCGCTTACTCACACTCTCGCAACGGCACCACTTGCTATCACAAAGGGGCAAGCAGGACAAGTGTCAAAGATGTTCTACCTGCCCCCCCACATGATTTAATGCGCTCTTCTAATCACTGCTCGACAAACTGAAGCAATTTGTTTTCAAAGCCACTGTTACACAGTGCTGGGATAAAAATCCTCCTCTTTGATCAAGGGGTCATTGGGGGTTGGGGGGACGGGGGAGCTGATACCAAGGGCTCAAATAGAAAGCAAATGTTTAGAAAATAATGATGGCAACATATGTACAAATATGCTTGATCCAATAAAATGACCTTTAAATAATTTTTGTTTTAATCCTCAACTTCCTCCAAGGCTAGAGCATATTCCAGCCTTCGACGTGCTGCTTTTTGCACTTGATCCTTCACATTCTGGCCTTTGACTGTTAGGTGCCATCAGGTTGGTTCCGACTCACACTGACCCCAGGTACATCAGAAGAGAGCACTGTCCCGTCCTGAACTGTCCTTGCGATTGTCCTTGTTGGAGCCCACTGCTGCAGCCACTGTGTCAACCCTTTGTTGAGGGCATTCCTCTGTCTCGCTGCCCCTCCACTGTCCCACATGATGGCCTTGTGCAGGGACTGTTCTCTCCTGACAACACGTCCACAGGGCATGAGACCAAGTCTCACTGTGACTGCCTCCAAGGAGCAATGGTTGTACTCTTCCACGGCAGAAGTTTGTTCTTCCTGACAGTCCTTGGTACTTTTTGTATTCTTCAACACCATAGTTCAAATGAGTCAATTCTTCTTCACTCTTCCTTATTCAATGTCCAATTTTCACATGTATATAAAAGGTACTTTAAACTGCCATGGTTTTCAGGCACATCTTAATTCTTAAAGGAACATCTTTGCTTTTCAATACTTTATAAAGAGGTCTTGTGCAGCAAATTCATGCAATGCAATGTGTTGTTTGATTTCTTCTTGACTGCTGCTTCCACGAGCAATGATTGCGGATCAAAGGAAGACAAAAATCCTTGACAACTTAATCTTTTCTGTTTATCATGATGTTACTTACTGGTCCAGTTGTGAGGACTGTGGTCTTTTTTACCTTGAGTTGTAATCCATACTGAAGGCTGCAATCCTTGAAGGGTACGCATGTTCACCAAGTAAGGTTGTGTCACCTGCATGTCGCAGGTTGTTAATAAACCTTCCTCCAATTCGGATGCAGCTTTCTTCTTCATATAATCCAGCTACATACAGATTGAACAAGTATGGTGAGAGGAAACAACCCTGTCACATCCCTTTCCTGATTTAAAGCCATGCAGCAATCTTTTGTTCTGCCCCCACAACTGCCTCCTAATCCATGTACAGCTTCTGCCTGACCACAATGAAGTGTTCTGGAATTCCCATTCTTCTCCAAGACTATGCATAGTTTGTTATGATTCACACGGTAGCCTCCACTGTCCTACAAACTTCTATTTCTCTTTTTTATCCAACCTCCCAAACTGCTAGTGTTTTGGATGCGGTGAGTACCGTATGTTACTAGAACAGCAGCATTTCAAATAGAGACACAGACTGGCTCTCTGAGGCCTCCCTTCCCTTCCCAGCTTGGCAGCAGCAGAGGCACAATCAGGCTCACTTACCTGTAGACAACGGCAGGGATGCGCTTCCATGACCTGAAGCTTGCTACACTTTCTAGTTCCTTATCAGTGATCCAGGCAGGCACTATGAGTTCCTGTGGATAGCTGCCACATAGCCTAACCGGAAAGATGAGAGAGGGGAAGAGGAGGGCAAGGGAGAGAGGGAAAGAGAGAGGGAGGGAGAGAGGGAAGGAGGGAGGGGAGGAGGGGAGGAGGAAAAAGGAGGGAGGAGATGGTAGAGGAAAGGAGGAAGACAGGGGGACAAAAACACTAAGTGAGTCAGTATAAAATGTTGGTCAAGCTACCACAGAGCAAATTAAATGGCAATAAGGAACCTTACTTGAGCCATGCCTTCTTCAGAAGGATGGGTTGACTTCACGTTTTTATTCATGCTTATGAATGGGGCTTCAAAATGTTCATAAAAATAAATCTGTTGTCTTTTCATTTCATTTCTCTACAAATATTGTGAAGCCCATTCATATGTCAAGTGATACTTTGGGAATCTGGCGATTTTATCAATGAAAAAAGGTAGAGCTGAAGGAAGTCTCTATTCATCACTGTAATTTTCTTGTGATAAATCTATGTAGGTCATTTAGAAAACCATGCGAGTTCCCGGTTCAATTCCACAAGTGTGACTGTGTAACCTCTACTGGACACCTATTGTTTCAGGCTTCTGATAAAAGGAAACGTGAAGAGCAAGAAACCATGATTCCAAGTTTTCAGAATCAGAAATGGGCAAGGGGTCCTTAGTAGAGGTACCAGGTGAAGCCATAAGTACATAGCCTGCACACACCATTACAGCCCCACTGAGCCGAGTTAGTAATGGGAACAAGTTGCTCACCATGATTTTTATAAAACGTATTTCATAATAGTTTGTACTTGGGCAGGGGGACACCCCCTTAATTTTGGAAGGTAGTAGCTGTGGTATAGTCAAGCTGGGAGGAAATGAAATTCTGCAGGAATTTTACTTAACAGAGCAATTTCTCTCTATAGGCGACTAATCCAGGTCAACAGTGAAGGCATTAACGCCTTGAATCCACATCCTAAAACATGCAATACCACTCATACAACGGCTCACCTATGTGGGTGTTTGGTTGGTTTTTAATAATTTTTCACTGTTGGTTTGTCTGTGTCCTGGTCTCAATTTCCAAAAAAGTCATTAGGAACTTAAATGTCACCAATAACAGCTATGACCAAGAGCAGCTATACAAACTTCTCAACACCTACCCATAAACTCCTAAATACAACCTGGGATACAGAGCTCATGGTTAGTATTCCAGCCGTAAGTCTCATTCCTTTCATTTTCAGCCGAGGGCTAATTTATACCTCCTTCTCTTGCACAGCATGACTTTCCAATGTCCTGAAGACGTGTTTGGAGACGCGAGCTAAGAAGACCCCAAGTTGTTTGTAAATCCATGTGAATTGATGATTTTGAAAATTGTTGGCTTTTGAATGCCAATATTTTCAAACAAACTTTAATTCCGTTTTCTGACTCTACATTATTTCTTGATCATTAGACTGAAACCGTTTCCAGGGTGAGAAAGGTGGGTCGCACAGCAGTCTGTTCCATATCCGTCCTTGGCTTGACCAAACCCCAAGAACAACAGAGGTACCACTGGCCTAGAGCTCCCAACACCCAAGTCCTCAGGTTAGGGGTTATGGATGGTGATGTTCTTCCAATAAAAAAATTAATGCACTGATGGCTAGCCACAGACTGACAAAGGAGCGATAATAATCTGAAGCAACTCAAAGGGCAGGAGAATGGTGAATGGCTCTCCAAATGCTACAGGGAATTCTGAGAGAAGAAGAATCTATCAGTTTAAGTCTCCTGGACAGGCTTTTTTCCCCTCTCTCTTTTACAGAAACCTAGATCACCCAAATCATATAACTACTTTCCTCCACCAAAGCACTTGTGCTTTAAGAAAACAGGTAATATTTACTAGTTAATAAGGATTAAATTAATATTTAATGATAGAACCGTCATAACTGAACTATTTTAGATCAAGCCCTTTAGATAACAGAGTTGGTACTGGTGCTTATTTCACAGGTTCCGGGTTAAATTATAGTCATAGAAATTAGCTTCTAAATGTTTTAGCTTTGCTAAGATCACTCATCTTAAATGTGACGTGGCGATCAGAACAATGGGAACAGCTGGCCTTCAGGTAAACTCAGCATTACCTGGTCATACATGTGCCAGGGCCAACAGAGGCCAGGGGAGAGCCTGATTCCCAGGATCCTGTTAAGTAAGGAATTACTTTCCACTCCAGTGGGCGTAAATGGGAACAAAAGGTTCAAGAGGTATCCAGGAGACTTTGCATTTAGACTTAATAAAACCCCAACTAACAGAAGCCTAAACTCAAATGCTCCAGGGCATATGAGCGCTGGTGTTTCTGCAAAGGCACTGGCTGAGGAACACAGCCCTTGGGGGCCCAGGCAACTCACTTGTACTTTTCATTGATGTTGGAAATCCTCCAGGCGTGGTTCATATCAAAGCCCATCCTTTCCACTTCATTTTTAAACCTGGACGTTACGTGCTCCCCTAGGGATCAGAGACAGATAGGAAGAAATGAGTGCAGTTTTTAAAAATAGGCTGAATAGAAGCTGAGTTATCCTGCTCATTTTTAAAAGGTAAATATTGGATAGCTATTAAGATAGCACACAAACCCCTGGGAACCAATTACAAGGGTCTACATATAACATCCTCCGTGGGGGATGG